AATAATCAATAAACAATACCAGCACTGTTCCTTTGATTTGTGTACTTTTTGCTGTGCATTTACTGATTTTGTGTCTTGGATGGATTGCCCATATCCGCTATTTTCTATCAGCGAACAACCTGATAATTCAGTAAATGATGAATCATAAAAGAAAAAAAAACTTTTGAGTGAGCTTATTCTAAACTTGTATATATTTATATTTAGGAGTGGGATTATTTTAGTTTCATATTTCAATATGATTTTGTATAAAGTCTTGTCTATAATTAGTTGAAAGACTTTCTAAAAATTATATGTAACGCTCATTATTTTTTCTAATTATTTCTTTGGGGATTCGATCAAATTACAATGCTTTATATTACTTCAAACAATGGGAAGCTTATTATTATATTACCCTGTATTTATTTAGTTATTTAATGGCCATGTTGGTTTGATAAGGAACTTTCCGTTTAGAATTTTCCTTGAAGTTCGGTATTTTTGTTATTTTACTTTTTTTTGATACTCTTGAATAGCCTGATTTTCATCATTCAATTTTGTTTAGAACTTTGATCTCTGATATTGCATCCGATACGTCATAGCTTAATTAGTCTGCAGTCATACAAGGAAATAGCTTACAAAGTGTGTACTTTTGCTTCTAAACTATTTTTATAATAATAAAGTGCTAAATGAAACCTTTAATGCCATTGTTAGTGCATATAAGTATATCAGACGTATTGATCGAACGCAATTAAAGGTATAAGATTTATACAAGTTTGAAAGATGGTGCACCATACTTTTTTATCGGTCCTTTTTTTACATGACAATTTTAAACAACAAAATGTCAAAATTTCTTACTTATTGGTACTGTTAGTGTACAAGATTTAGCACTATGATTTCAAATTTGCTAAGAAAAGAGTACTAGTTGTGTATTTCTTTTGGTGTTGTATATTGGAAAAACAACTTCTTTTCGCGAAAAAAAAATGTGCCGACCTTGTGTGACTACTACTAGGAATCATAATCATGATAAACAATGAAAGTCTTTTTGTTTAAAAAAAAAGTTGCTTCTTTCTCGAATCTAAGAAAAACAACGAAATGGAATCACCTCCACCATCAATATCAACTCATAATTGCCAATATGATGACAAACAAAGATAGATAACTCTATCTGATAGATAAAGTTATTTTTTTTTCTTTACAAAGTTTTCATATTCAAATCTAGATCGATTATTTTATAGACTTAACTATTCAATTTCCATGGAATACCCCTCCAGGCTATTATCAACCATATTTTAAATTCATATATGTACAAATGAGGCCATTCATGGGAATCGCAAAACGGGGATAGCAGGATACCAGTGTGAATACCGGTACAAAAATGCCAAAAAAAATACTCTTTTGTAACTTTCAATATTGTCATTTTTATTACTTGCTTTACTTTGCATGCATATATCCTTCGTGGAAAAGCCTAATTATTTTTAAGGATTCAATTGAAAAGAAAGCAGAGGTATTACAGAAGTTAACCCAGTTTTGTGCGTATAAATGTTTCAAAATTGATTGTCTAACTATTATCTTTATGTCATCTTATGAGAATCACGACAAGACGTGAAAATTTCGAATTCTGCAGTCAAAGGAGCTGCTATTCTATTTAACTAAGATTTTGAGATATTTTGGAAGTTTGAATGTGTCTGATACAGTTTATTGGTTTTTAGACATATCATAAAAATTGGCTGCTGGAAAAAAAATGGCTGCTATCTTGATTGGCTGCTAAAAGTGGCTGCTAGCTTGAGCCAAGTTAAGTATTTCACACGTACAATGAATATTGGGAGACACCTTCAACCTTTTAACTTCCATACTAAATGTTTTGTAAATATCTCAACTTTGACACATTGATAAAAGAGGGACGAAAGATACCAGAGGGACAGTCAAACTCACAGATCGAAAACAAACTGACAACGCCATGGCCAAAAATAAAAAGACAAACAGACAAATAATAGTACAGATGACACAACATAGAAAACTAAAGACTAAGCAACACGAACTCCACCAAAAACTGGGGGTGATCTCAGGTGCTCCGGAAGGGTAAGCAGATCCTGCTCCACACGTGGCACCCGTCGTGTTGCTTATGTTATAGGAACATGTGATTGGTTCTTATGTGAAAAAGACAACCCAACAACATTTTAAAATGTTCACCATACTTAACTGTCACGGTACATGAAGGTTAAAAGTACAATTTTTAATGCCACATATGAAGCAGGGTTCACATAGTTAAATGAAACCCATTAATATCATCACCCGAAGAAAGACGGATAATGCCTTGTCTTAAAGAAAGATACAGAAGGACAAACTTCAGTCAAAACCTTACATAGAAAACCAGAGGACTGAGCAACACGAGGTCCATCAAAAACCAGGGATGTATCTATATCCTTCTAAATGGTTATCCGGTACTGCTCCCTAACTACAATAGAAGTGTTAAGGATTGATATTTTACTGTCGAAGGTCGATGGTTTGTAGGGGTACTCTGACTTCCTCCGCTAATAAAAACCGATCGACCGCCATGATATAGCCAAAGTTGTTGACAGGAACGTAAACATAAGTCAGGAATCTGTTGTTCAGTAGTTGTCGTGTGATGATGTGGTTCATAAGTGTTTCTCGTTTCTCATTTTTTATATAGATTAGACCGTTGGTTTGTCACGGAATAGAAGTTCCTTCATAATATAATTTCCAAATGGAAACAATATTCTGGAATATTATTTCCACTTGAATAAATATTACAGTAAATGTTCCTAACGGAATAAATGGTATAGAATATTTGTTCCAACAGGAACAGATATTATGACATTGTTTATAACAAAGTTTCCAGTGGAACTTCTGTTAGGCGGAACAAATATACGTTGACAGGTTTTCCCGTTTGAATGGTTTTACACTAGTAAATTTTGGGGCCTTTTATAGCTTACTGTTCGGTGTGAGCCAAGGCTCCGTGTTGAAGACCGTACTGTGACCTATAATGGTTTACTTTTATAAATTTTGACTTGGATTGAGATTTGTCTCATTGGCACTCATACCACATCTTCTTATATCTATAAACAAACAAACGAGCAAACAACCAAATAAACAACACGTTTAATTTTCGAAAATACATATAATTTTCAAATATGTTTTCTTAAAACCAATGAACCAGAAGATTTTTATAATTCAAAACATTGATAATAATTGATTTAGAATTTAGCCATCAAGACAATTATAATTATGATGGTTGCACGTGTGTACTGATAGTACATTGTTTTCAACGTTAAAGAGTAAAAGTTGCTAGTCAAGAGTACATTAATACAAGTAGCAGCATTTTTATGGTTTTTTTTTTACTTATTATAATAATAATAATAATTATTATTATTATTATTATTATTATTATTATTATTATTATTATTATTATTATTATTATTATTATTTGATAGAATCTTTTTTCAATTGAAAGGCTTAGAAAATATTTAAAATTATGTTATGATTGGTAGCCATTACAATACAAACCGGATTAACGAAATCTATAAACGGTCAGTGCAAATAATAAAAATATCATGTTTCAATAAAAAACGCACTTAACATTTATTCATGCCAAATTTAATAATAAATTTCCTAATTTGCCTGGCAACCTTGTTGAAGATAAAACATTTGAACTTTTTAATTTGTACTATAAATTCAATAACGAACTTTAATAATTTAATGAGTTACTGTATTTCTCACAACAAAAAAGTCAGTAAGTTATTTGATATTAAGTAATTACTGAACCGGAACTTAAGTTTTCGTTTTTGTTAAAACAAAGGTGAATGTAAACATTTAAATCATTTAAATGTTTGCAAATATATACTGACGCACCTTAAAAACGCAACACATATTTGGTGATTTTTTTCTACCAAATCATGATTGATATACATGATATATATATAATGCTATTCATGCTTACCAAACTTCATTCCGTCAGAAAAATGAAAGACCAGAAGTAATTGCACATACAGGATTATTGACGCCGTACAAATTTCTTGACTCGAGATTTAAAACACATGCGGGATTTTTTTTGGTGTTTTTTTCTTAGTAAAACATTTCTTTGAATACGTAATAACACCTAAATCATTCAAAAATGTTGTGTTTCCATAATGCCGATGCTCAGCAATAATAATATGAATCAGGCTTTCAGAATATTGCTGACGGGAATAAGTCAACATGATGTTGCTAGACAATTTCACGTCAGAAATATCCCAATCAGTTCTAACAACAACGGAACAGACAGATGGGATTCGTAAATGGCCATCCATACATGACTAGGTCAACCTGTAGTGACAACGCAACTCCAATTAGATGTCATTTGCGAAACAGATTTACGACTGTAACTTCAACTGCTAACCAAGTCGTCGGTTGTTATGGTAGACATATGCACGCCAAATATGTTTCCCGTATACCTGAAATTCCACAAAATCAACGGCAGAAAATCATTTTGAGTTGAATAGTTTAAACCGCACAATTACCAGAACAGACAGTAATGGGTAAAACAAAGGCCAAACCAGAAGGGACAAAACTGAAATCAAAACATTCCGAAACAGAACTGGTCAATTTCTCTGTCAATCATTTTGACGTTGGTTACATGCAGTCATTGTCTTTGGCGGTAAACACCCATTAATGGAATACAAACCAGGGGCTCTTTTGACAAAAAGTCTTATTAATAGAATAAAAATTGATCGTAAGTTATACTAAAATGTTCATATTTAGCGAGTATTTTTTCTCATAAGATTTTTTGTGAAATGAGTCGCAGGTTTTCAGTACAAACCATATGATCTGAACATTAAACTTGACGAAATTAATTCAACTTTCGAACTGCTATTTTTATCAAGACGATGGAGTAATACATGCATTTTATGTTTACATATGTGTATTTTACAAGTATTGGAAAATTGACAATCAAAATACACAAAAAAATAATCTAGAGTTGCGTTTATTACGTCCGTCAGTATATTTATTTTATGCACAAGCTACAAAGTGTTTTATAATGTATAAAGTTGTTTCATATTTTAACTCATCTAATACACATGACAGTTTTAAACAGGTGATACAGATCCGGGTGTGACATCCGTTGAGGAAATGGTATAACCAGTGCACTAGGTACGTTCTTTAGATTTTGTTATTTTATGAGCGATTAGATATTAGCCAAAGATCTTCCTCACGAGGGCGTTGAATCGTTATAAAAACGATACTGTACACAATAAATAAATTATATATACGATTAAAAAGTGTACGAAACAACACCAATATTAACAACTGGAAACATTTAATACAAGTATCAATGAATATTTCGGATAAACAGATATCATTCACCAGTATAATATAAAATGAATCATATCAATCTATTCTCATTTAACTAAAACAATCATTTGAACTTTGGTGGATAGTTCTCATTCAATCATACCACATCTCCTTCTTTTTATATTGAACGTAATACAAGTCAAAAACCTTACCACGCTTGTATAATTAAAAAGTTTTAAAATTGACGCAGGCTAAGTATTTACAACAGAGACTGTGTAGATGTAGACCCAAAACCAATAGCACTGCGTGATTTGACTTTGTATAGTTCTAAATTTCAAAGTTCACACAGGTTAAGTATTTATAACAGAGGTGCATCCAAAATTAATAACATTGCGCAGTTTGTTCTACCTATTTTCATTGATCTGATTGTAAGCTTGATTTTACTTCTTATAGTTGACCTTACTTGACCGAGTACTTGAATGTCGTACCACAAAAGAAGGTAACCTGTAGAAAAATTATATACTCCGGAACCAAGACACGGGTAGTAACGTCGTCATATCGACGAGCGTTTAGTACAGTGGTTTTGTCATATTTTGGTTAAATTGGACATTATTGTGTTAAGTGTTTTTATTGACAAACAATGACACAATATAAACATTCGGATTTTTTTATTAAGGAACTTCTGAACATAAATTTAAGCTAATAAGTATCTTTGTGTACGGCTAATATGTTAGTACATAAAAATTTGTATCATAAAGTTAATAATTTGACACCGAATAATGCTTGCGTATGTCAAATTTTAAATGTTGTAATTCGTTTTTTTATGCATAAAGAAAGTTGATGTGTTTACTGTCTGTTACATCACATATTTCATTATGATATAAACCTGCCGTCGATTATTCCAAAATAAAGTGACATTTGCACACAATTTAAGTTTACTGAAAATTCGATGTCATGGTTTGGTTCAGTAGTGTCATGGTTTAGTTCATGTTCGGCATGGTTCAGTTCTGTGATTCCTTTCGTGTATATTGGAAGAGTGACGATAAAAATAAAACGACAATATTCAACTATTGAAATACTGTTAAAACATATTTTCGCCAATACTTTTTATTCAGCGTTTAACCCATTTTATTATACTTCACGTTAAAATGCCAGATTTTGATTGGCTAATACGAGGGAGACAATTTACTCTATCCCATGGCTGAGCGGGAGACAATTGTTTTGAATGTCACCCTCTCGTGCAGACCAATCAAAAACCGATAGTTTAAAGGACAATAAATTGAATTTACATCAAATAATTAAAGACAATGCTCAAGTTTTACGTTTTGGCTCAGAACTTTTTCATAGACTGTCAAAATAATGAAAATAGACCACCTTGCTTCACTTCTCTTGAATTTTCTATTATCTGTAACGTTGTAATGTACGTGACGTCATAGTTAAATACTTTTTAAAATTCAGCAGTAAATGACAATAATTCTAGGACATTCAGTATAAAATATTAAATAACACATAGCTGAGAGGGTGATAGAGCAGATTGGTACCCCTCGAAAAAACATTGTCAACCTTGGCTTCGCCTCAGTTGACAATGTTTTCTCGGGGTAACAATCTGCTCTATCACTCTCTCAGCTATGTGTTATTTATATACTATCCTATTCTGAGGCAATATATTGTCGCCATTTCCTAATGTTGTTGTTTTTGTTCCCATACGAGTAGATCTGAGTTTCACATATTAACGCTGAAAATATAAGATAATATATTGTTGATTTCAATAGCAATTTTCTTTAAAAGTACTTTTATTTGGAATACAAAAGGACCTAAGAAAGCATATAGTAATATATAAAATTATAAGTAGATGCGGTATGATTTCCAATGAGACAACTTTCCACCGAGACCAAATGACGTACATCTTAGGTCGCCGTACGACCTTCAACAATTAACAAAACCCATACCTTTTAGCAAGAAATAAAAGGCTCCGACAACTTTAAATGTAAAGCAATCCAAATGAAAAAACCAACGGCATGATTTATGTTCAAAACAATAAGCGAAAAACAAATATGATGTACAGTAACAAACAACAGCCACTGCATTACACACTTTTGACTTAGGACAGGCACATACAGAATATGGCGATGTTTAACATGTTTGCGGGCTCCCAACCCTCTCCTCGCCTGAACCTGGGCAATGGCGTAACAGCACAACAAAGAAGAACAAACTATAAAAATCAGTTGAAAAAGACTTGACTCATCAGATCGATACAAAGCAAAATAATCAAGTAACATAAACACTAAATAACAAAGAACCGATCTGTGAGTATTTGCATTTACTGGAAGTTCCAAGCCAATAAGTTGAATAACAACTAATCAAAAATCATGAATCCAAGACAAAAGGTAAAATAACAAAAATACAGAACTCCAAGGAAAATTCAAAACGGAAAGTCCTTAATCTAATGGCAAAATCTAAAGCTCAAACACATTAAACGAATGGATAACAACTGTCATATTCCTGACTTGGTACAGGCATTTTCTTATGAGGAAAATGGTGGATTAAATCTGGCTTTAAAGCTAGCTAGCTAAACTCACTTGTATGACAGTCGCATAAAATTCCATTATATTGACAACAATGTGTGAACCAAACAAACAGACATATTAGATAAACATGTCAAACATAGGGTACAGCAGTCAACATTGTGTAATAATCTTAATCACTATAAAAACAAACAAATATGTCAACAACAAAAAACAAAAAGGCATATAGACAAAGCACATTAGCAAAAACGAAAGACAAGAATACAAAAATTTACCATAGCACAATAACACAATAACGGGATGTATAAGTACCGAGCCACGTCAAATGGATATTACCAAAAATAGACTAAACAGTAAAAGTAATAATTTACAAATACAAATAAAAGGACACTATAACACGTAATTAAGATGATAAACGTTACTTTTTTGTTTGTTTCAGAATGGAATTCTGTTGCCAATATTTATCTTCTTCCATCTTATTCTCTGCTATTAAGAACGATGATTTCTCGTCTAGCATGTCTAGTCGTGTCAAAAATAAGGTCGTACACAGTTTAAATGTACTTGTACGGAACAAAATAACACGTGTATCTTGGAATTTAAATTATTTTTTTCAATCACAACTAATTAATATGTACATTTTAATTTGCATACTAAATACTACATGTGTACTAGACCGACAGAGCTTTTTTCCGATATCATCGAAACTTTATTGCATAAAAAAATAAACGGGTAAGTGATACTACACAATACACTTAAACAATACGACAAAACATAATCATTTTTATTCATTCGTAATAATAATTGATAAAAATGGACATTATATCGACCTATTTCTAATTCGAAATTTTGATCTTTCATATATTTAAATTCGGAACTTTGAAAGGTTTTTTCATAGTTATTTCACTAATAGTTTATTAAAAAAAAAAAGTTTAATTTAAACTGTTGTGCATCTTAACATTTTGTTCCGTGGAGGGTTGAAGACTGTATGGAGCCCTCTCGATATCGTTAGGTTACTTCTGTAGTTGGGTTACTGTGTCATGGGCATATAACCCCCAAATCTCCTTATATTCATCATAGACATAATTTGGTTCAAATAAAAACAACAGATGTATAGTTTGTTAAAAAAAAATGTAAAACAAAGATTAGTTTTTACTAGCTGCTACGTTTTGCAACTCTAAGTAGACGTCTTTAATCATTTGATTAGTGACGCCGCTCACGATATCCCCGGCAGAGTCCATCATGGACATATGGAGGAAAGAGTCTAGGAGAAACAGAAGCAACGCTTTCTGTTTTTGTAATTTATTTTATCGAATGACAATTAAAACGAGCAGTGGCTATATGAAGTCTTTCTTATGAACAAAACAAAATTAAAATGTATAATTGTACGATCAAATTTGCAGATTACGCCAACCAAAATTTGGTAAAAAGGCTTTTTTTCTTCTTAGTCAATTGGTAAATTGTGTAACTTCGTTTTTTCACAAGCGGCTTCAAACAAACTATCAATAATATATATTAAGGTTAAACAAATATGTATTAATTTGGATCTAAACCATGACGAATTTCTACACACTCAACTGAACCATGTCAATTGCTTAACCAAATCATACCAATTTCAATATGTTGATTATCCGGCGTTAGTTTCTTAAAAACAACAATTTTAATTTAGATCGTTTGACTTAAATATAGATTCAAACATGCTATTTGCTTTGTATTTGCTCATTTGAAAAGAACTGAGGCAACCGTTCTTGTTAGTAACCTAAATAATCCATGACGAACTTAACCACACTATGACAAAATCACTGTACTAAACGCTCCTCGATATGACAACGTTACTACCCGCGCAAAAGTCAGTTATACGAAATAAGTCCATTAAAACAGTTCGAAATAATACGGTTTTTAAATGTTGGCAGTTATTCAATGCAATTTTTAAAACCTAATCTGCTAGTATAGTAATCATGCTGAAATATCGTCCACTTTACAACATTTTCGTTGTTGTTGAAGAGGGCCACTCGTCTTTGTGTAACTTTGCATTTTTTCTATTATAATCAGTATGTCAAACTATCACATTTTCATTTTAAATTTCAGAAAATGTTCCTTTGGAAGCATGTGATTACAGGACTACGAAATATACGCATACTAAAAATATTCTATTCCTTATTTGCAATTGAAATTTTATTCCTGGTAGTAATCTATGCACTTTATGGACAAAAGATATCTATAAGAAACGTTTCATCGTTGACTACAAACCCCAATAATCTACGAGAGATAACAGAAATTTCAAATGAGTTCATCAAAAAAACTTATAAGCATGGCTTGCCTTACAAGCAGAATTTCAAATACCCATTAGAAATAGACATGATCAAATTATCACGTGATATCAGTTCAAACATCACACGTGACAAAGTCACTATAATTAATCCACATCCGTTTAGCTACACAATATTACCTAAACATAAATGCAATTTCATAGTTCGGGCAAACTGGACAATTATTATAATAGTAAAGTCCGACATAAGGAATGTTGATAGGAGGCAAGTAATACGAAATACTTGGGGAAATACGGGTAACTCTTCCGATGTGTCGGTAGTATTTATGCTTGGTGTTGGGGATGTCCCTTTGTCTGCTAAAGAGACAAAATACAATGATATTATACAAGAAAATTTTATTGACGCTTATAGAAACAATACTATTAAGACAATAATGGGGTTCAATTGGGCGGTAAAGTATTGCCTAACTGCCAACTATTTGTTTTTAGTTGACGACGATTATTTCGTAAATGTTGCCAATTTAATGACATTGCCACAACGATGTAAAAATAAGCAGAATGTTTATTTGGGATCGATTACGTCAAAAGCAATACCCTACCGAGACCAAGATTCAAAGTGGTATATTACGTGGGAGGAATATCCATATGACAAATGGCCGCCATATATAATGGGAGGAGCTTATTTAGTATCAATGAAAACTGCAAGACAGTTTCAAATAATTTTTCCATATGTAAAACCAATACATATGGATGATGTATTCCTTGGTATAGTGTCTCATAAATTAAATATCAGGCCTATTAGTGCACCATTATTTTATGATGGAAAGAAGAAAGGACACAGAATCGCAGGTGGCATTGTTGCGAGTCATGGATATGAGAATTCAGTTGATGTATATCGTGCATGGAAACAATTACCCAAAAAGTATGGATTTAAAAATTTCACCACTTTAACTGAAATAATGAAACCAAATGCCTAAGATATAATATATATAGATGATGCTCCCGAAAAACGAAAAAAAAAACAAAAAAAAAACGAAAAAATAATATAGGCTAATTTTCTAGTTTCAACATTTAAACAAAATTTTGCGATTAAAGGAATCGTCTTTAGATAAGGAATACATATTTTCTATCTTTTACAATTTTTACGATAATTACCAACTTGGAATATATTAACTCTTTTTTCATCTATCTGTCTTGTTATGTACACATTTGAAATCGATGTCATAATTTTGAGTCTTAATACCATTTGTTTGCTTCTTTTGCTTAAAAGTAGACTAAATACACAGGCAGATAGGTTTGAATTTATGTGAATCACATTGCAGTAAACTAGAATCAGATAAAGATAAATCCAGAAAGACGCTTTAGACGCACGAAATTTGTAAAGTGTTTTGTTTTTTATTTATTAGCACGGGTCGATACCTCTGCTGGTGGTCAGTTAGAACAACAGGGTGTATCATCAGCTCAGTAGTCTGTTCTTCAGAACTGACATGATTTATAACATTTCTAAATTTTGGTGTGTTATATATTTTACACCACGATTAAATAGAGGTACGTTTTCCAAAAAATAATAAAAAATAAGTAAATTGATTAAACCGGGTTTGTTTCTATTGATGAAGTGCGTCGCTTTATATTGATCTCTGAACAAAAACGATACAAATAGGTAGGTATGAAACGTAATCTGTCCTTACTGTACATATCTGACTGGTATGACATACGTAATCTGTCCTTACTGTACGTATCTGACTGGTCTGACATACGTAATCTGTCCTTACTGCACATATCTGAATGGTCTGACATACGTAATCTGTCCTTACTGTACAGATCTGACTAGTCTGACATACGTAATCTGTCCTTACTGTACATATCTGACTGGTCTGACATACGTAATCTGTCCTTACTGATCATATCTGACTGGTCTGACATACGTAATCTGTCCTTACTGTAAATATCTGACTGGTCTGACATACGTAATGTGTCCTTACTGTACATATCTGACTGGTCTGACATACGTAATCTGTCCTTACTGTACATATCTGACTGGTCTGACATAGGTAATCTGTCCTTACTGTACATATCTGACTGGTCTGACATACGTAATCTGTCCTTACAGTACATATCTGACTGGTCTGACATAGGTAATCTGTCCTTACTGTACATATCTGACTGGTCTGACATACGTAATCTGTCCTTACTGTACATATCTGACTGGTCTGACATACGTAATCTGTCCTTACTGCACATATCTGAATGGTCTGACATACGTCATCTGTCCTTACTGTACATATCTGACTGGTATGACATACGTAATCTGTCCTTACTGTACGTATCTGACTGGTCTGACATACGTAATCTGTCCTTACTGCACATATCTGAATGGTCTGACATACGTAATCTGTCCTTACTGTACAGATCTGACTAGTCTGACATACGTAATCTGTCCTTACTGTACATATCTGACTGGTCTGACATACGTAATCTGTCCTTACTGATCATATCTGACTGGTCTGACATACGTAATCTGTCCTTACTGTAAATATCTGACTGGTCTGACATACGTAATGTGTCCTTACTGTACATATCTGACTGGTCTGACATACGTAATCTGTCCTTACTGTACATATCTGACTGGTCTGACATAGGTAATCTGTCCTTACTGTACATATCTGACTGGTCTGACATACGTAATCTGTCCTTACAGTACATATCTGACTGGTCTGACATAGGTAATCTGTCCTTACTGTACATATCTGACTGGTCTGACATACGTAATCTGTCCTTACTGTACATATCTGACTGGTCTGACATACGTAATCTGTCCTTACTGCACATATCTGAATGGTCTGACATACGTCATCTGTCCTTAATGTACATATCTGACTGGTCTGACATACGTAATCTGTCCTTACTATACATATCTGATTTGGTCTGACATACGTAATCTGTCCTTACTGTACAGATCTGACTGGTCTGACATAGGTAATCTGTCCTTACTGTACATATCTGACTGGTATGACATACGTAATCTGTCCTTACTGTACATATCTGACTGGTCTGACATACGTTATCTGTCCTTACTGTACATATCTGACTGGTCTGACATACGTAATCTGTCCTTACTGTACATATCTGACTGGTCTGACATACGCAATCTGTCCTTACTGTACATATCTGAATGGTATGACATACGTAAATGCATATGTGATTGGTGAAGAAACGTTTTTACGACTAGTCTGTCCATCTATTCTTTCGTCCATAATCAGGTTCAATGTCTAGTTTAAGGACTTACCATGAAATTGTGGTGACATCAACTTAAAACCTAGTGCACATGTTCATTATGTTGTGACCTTATTATAATATATGCCAAATTAGGGCTTCATGTATGTCATAGATTTTACGAATCATTGAGCATGTTAAAGTTTTGGTTAAAGGTTCTAGGTTAAAATTTATTAAGAGGAAGTTATAGTTACGCCAATTTTAAAAACATGTTCATTATGATGTGAAGTTTAAAACATATATGCCAAATAAGGTTTTCGCGATTCCATGATCAGGTTAAAAGTTTGGTTTAACTTTTAGTGTAAGTTAATTTGCTACGACGTTTAGGTCACATTTGTATTATAATGTAAACTGTTAAACCTAGGTTTAGGATCCAGATTTTTAAGTCTACTCAACATGTTAATGGGATATCGCGAGCGAGACACGGTGTCCTGAGGACGCACACTCTTGTTACCATTAAAGTTTTAACTTTATCAGAAAAAACTTAATACCTTCATTATAATATATGTCTCGATGATTGTTTAGAGTTTTTTTAAACCGTGACTTAGGGAGCTACAATTGTCAATTTTAAAGTTGCTCTTCCCCAAGCTTGCTGACTGAAGTTGTAACAGTCGAGTTTAAAAGGTTACAACATATTTCATATTACCTTGTGATTAGTATAATCAGTAAAGTTGTACATGTATCTGTTTGAAAGCCTTTCTGATTCTTTATTCCAAGTTTGATAGTAACTTAGGAAAAACAAATCGTTAAATGCTTTTGAAAGTAGAATAAAGAACATTACCAAATCAAGTGAGATAAAAGGTATTTAAAATCTCAAAACATAATCTATAGACCGATCCACGACAGCTACAACTCAAGACGCTAATAAAATATGCAAGAAAATAGAAGTAAACACTGCAAAAGTTAGGAGAGTCAAAGCAAACTATAGTTTCTTTGAAACCAGAGTGTAAAGCGTATCATATACAAAAAAAAAAAAAAAAAAAGCAAAAGTGTCTGACAAAAAGCAAAATTATCGGACAAAAAGCAACACCGGAAAGAAGCAAATGTCGGACAAAAAGCCCCGTTTCAGACGTAATTATTTATAGTTCTTGATTGTCATAGCTCCATAATTAGTCAATTTAGGTTTAAAATAACCTTAGTTATCAAGGTCAGTAAAGTAAAATCAAACTAAATATTATTTTTATATACATATGCACATTCATGGCTCTACAATCCGACGATACCTGTATCTTGGCATTGCATAAGGTCATGTTTCACTCTGACTGTTAATGACGACTTTACACTAAAAACATTGGATGTTGGATGTGTACTGACTGATATTTTAGTCTTAGATGCATGATTTTTTTATTAGTTGTTATTGGTTTTGAACTAGCTGTCAGTAACTGCGAGTACACTCAGATCTGTACTTAGTGTCTTTTTTGTTGTGGGGATGTATACGTACCCTGCCACGTCCACTCTGTGTTTTTGTTAGATATATTTCTGCTTTGTATCCATCTGATGAGTTTAGTCCTTTTCAACTGATTGTTATGGTTTATTATTGTGTTGTACTGTTGCGCCACTGTCCCAGGTTTGAGGGAGGGTTAAGGCCTTCAAACAAGTTTAACCCCGCTACATTCTGTATGTGCCTGTCCCAAGTCATGAGCCTGTAATTCAGTGGTTGTTGTTTGTATATAATTTTGTTTTTCGTTCATTATTTTGTACATAAATCAGGCCGTTAGTTTTTCTCGTTTGAATTGTTTTACATTTGTCATTTCGGGGCCTTTCATAGCTGACTATGCGGTATGGGTTTTATTCATTGTTGAATGCCATGTGGTGACCTATAGTTGTTTATTTCTGTGTCATTTTGGTCTCTTGTGGAGAGTTGTCTCATTGGCAATCACACCACATCTTCTTATTTTTATATTTATACTTTTAAGCTCCGGAAGAGGTAGTAGCCTAAGGTGAATATACAGTTATATCCATACACTCTTTTGATATCCATTTGTTTATAAAATTTCACGGATCGTACGAGAAAGTTATAAATTAATGTGAGACTATCTACAGGTTAATATAATAGAGAACGGGAACGGGAAATGTGTAAACGACACAAAAACCCGATCAAAGAGCAGAAAACAGTCAAATAGATATAGGAAGATGTGGTATGAGTGCCAATGAGACAACTCTCCATCCAAGTAACAATTTACAAAAGTAAACCATTATAGGTCAAGGTACGGCCTTCAACACGGAGCCTTGGCTCACACCGAAGAGCAAGCTATAAAGGGCCCCAAAAATTACTAGTGTAAAACCATTCAAACGGGAAAACCAACGGTCTAATCTATATAAAAACGAGAAACGAGAAACTCGTATGAACTACATAAACAGACGACAACTACTGTACATCAGATTCCTGACTTAGGACAGGTGCAAACATTTGCAGCGGGATTAAACGTTTTAATGGTACCAACCTTCTCCCTTTTCTGAAACAATAGTATAAAGTCCATCAATGGGTCTTCAACGCAGCGAGACAATCCTGCACCTGGAGGCGGGCTTATCTGGCCCCTAAACAAAAATGTATAGTAGTTCAGCGAAATGGACGCCATACTTAACTCCAAAAAATACAAATGAACAAAAAATTAAAAAAACGAACAAGACTTTGGACAGGCGCAAAAAATGTTCCTTTGCGTTTGTCTCAGCAACTGCGAGTGTTAAATGCTTTTTCTCATATTATTGAATTGTACAATTTCTATGTTCCATTTGTTATTCATCTAATTGGAATAAGAACTAACTGATGTATGTGCTTTGTGCCGATTTGATGAGCAAAGCCCTTAACAACTGATTTTACAAGTTGTTCTTTTGTTGTGTTATTACTACATCGTCCCATGTTAGGGATAGGGTTGAACGCTCGAAAACATGTTTAAATTCTGCAACATTTTATTTGGGCTTGTCCAAAATCAGGAGCCTGTACTTAAGTGGTTGTCGTTGTTTGTTGTCTCTCATATTTACTTTTAGTATATTGTTTATATTTTCTTCATTTTTCAGGCCTTTCGTTTTCTTGTTTTTGTGTGTCGGGGCTTTTTGTAGCTTATTATACGGCATGGTATTTGCTCATAGATGAAAGCTGTACGTTGACCTAAAGTTGCCTACATCTACGTCATGTGGTCTATTTTTGGATAGTTGTCTCATTGGCATCATACCACAACATTACTAAGTGTACTTATTTCTGTGGTTTAACCCCTTCATATGCTCATGATATGTTTGTTTCCACAAAGAACATGATCAGCGGTTGTTTGTCTTAAAACCTGAATTGTTTTTTCCTTTATGAGAGTCTGGATGGGGGTCCTTCATTTTTTTATTCTTTAGATTTTAGACGAATTTTTCTCTAATATTTATATACTTTTACCATGTTTCTCTATTTTTTATTTGTTTTGTCTTTTTTTTTTTTTATTTGTTTTGTCTATTTTTATTTGTTTTGTCCTTTTTTCTGCACTTTTTGGTCAGAAATTACAAAATTTCGCTATTCTGTAAACCCCGTCGAGACTGTTTTGATTTATAGTAATCTGGTGTTAATGGCGTATCTAAGTCTCAATGAAATTAATTCATAACTTTCCTGGCAATAAAGAACTGGATAAATGTATATGAAATTATTTATTGTTAAAGACAGTTTTGTTGATCTTTATATGTTTTTATTTGTTTTTTTATTACCTCCCCTAATTGCTGTGGATGTATATCTCACAAGTGCTTATAGTTAAACGATAATAATTTACAACACTTAAAACTGCGCAGTATTAACAATTGAAGTTAACCATCCTCTTTCCGCGTTCTTTAGGGTTAACTTCAAGTTGTTAAATATATCTTAAGTATGTGGGATAATTATGTCTTCCGAAAAGGATATAGATTCATACATGTCATACTTAAAATTGCATTATACGTATAAAACGATATGAATTGGCTTTATATAGTAGGAAAACGTATGTTGTTAATTTAACTGTAAAATTAAAAGAGAGGCGAAAGACACCAAAGGGATATTAAAACTCAGAAGTCGAAAACTAACTGACAATGCCATGGCCAAATACGAAAAACGATAAAAAAAAACCATGGTAGGCACAACACTATATAGAAAAACTAAGTGCATATCAACACAAACCTCATCAGATATCGGAGCTAGTCACAGATGCAACATGTGCATTACAGCCAATCAAAACTGTTTCATGTAAATTCAATTAGACATTAACCAAATAAGTCAAAATATCTTAAAAATATACAGTCTCGTGTTTAAGGAAGCAATTGTTTTGTGCAAATTGTTGTTTGTATTCAGAATATATATAGTGGTTGTTTGATACTGAGTATTTGTCTCTTATAGAAGTTAACATTATATATAATTCTACATGTAACAACATAAGTAACAAATGTACAAATTTATTTTCGTTAACGTCCAGAAGAAAGCTGTAAAAGGATTTTCTGTTTGCTTTACAAAACTGACCATAGAAAATTATAGTGAACGTGATAGATTAATTTATTTATTGTTGGGGTTGTAACGCCACTTTCAGCACTTTTGACATTAAATATCATTGCGGTCAGTCTTTATTAGCGGAGAATGATGGAGCTTCTGGGGGAAACCAACAACCTTCAGCAACAGCATGGCAATCCTAGTCAATTGAGAT